CAGCAGGAGACTGAAAGAAAGCATAATATAATCATAAACCTTCTCTACTATTAATGTGCAAATGTTTCAAAAGACTTGTTTTCTATGTAATTTCATATACAAGCACACTTAATTTAAGACTGATGAAGGCTTCTAAAAACTATACACTTTACTTCTATACTTACTTAAGCAGTATTGAACAATCCTCTTCATCCTTATGTTAACCCTTTCCATTATCTTAAAGCCAATGTTAAAGCTCAAGTGACTATAAATTTAAAAACAGAGTAAGTTTTCAGATTTGAATGAACACTGGAAAATGTGGACTCAGAAAAAGAGCAGTAATACATACCTCTATGGTTCTAAACTTACCCATATAGGGAACCCCTCTAAAAACTCTCATGCATCAGTATCCCTCCCTCAAATTCACCCCAAACCTTTCCTGTCACAACAGTGGCATGATTACCTAAACTAATAATATTCAAACTCAAGCAAGAGCTTACTTAATATGACTAGCATCGCATGTTTTATATACTGCCTTTTCTATCTATTCTCTCATTTTCTCTCTTTAAGGTGTTCCTTCACATCTGTTGCAACTGAATGTCCTCCTGCTGGCTGTGTAATCACAATACTAATCATTCCAGGTGACATTGCACTGCAGGTGACACCGCTATACTTCTCTTTAATTTTAGTGTCACCCTATAACTTTGATCAAAATTCAAATGATACACAAACCATATTTGTCATGAATTATAAATCCTAAATTCAGGAGGCTCTTGTATTTGTACCATGACTAAAAGCCAATTGAAACCTTAAAAAAAATATTTTGACAGTCAGCCATACAGGGTGCTTGCAGACAAAAAAACCCAAAAACAAAAATGGCGCTTTACTTTAAACTTGGCACCATAGGTGATGCGTGCCTCCTGAGGCTGGGGGAGCATGGCGACCACCTGCAGGCGGCAACCTGGGTGTAGGCGGCGAGCACAGGCCAAGCGGGGACTGTCCACAGGCGCCCATGGTGGTGTCAGCGGCGGGGGGTTGGGGTCCCGCGCTGCTGGACACGAAGCCCGGAAGTGCCGGCAGTGTGCCTGGAAGTGCCATCCACCTGCCCCACTTCTTGTGCCAAGCCCTGTGCATGCCCAGAAGAGGCAGCGCGTTACTTCAACCCAGCTTGCTTCATGTCTGTAAAGATTGGGCACTTTAGTGGGGCCTTTTTAGTGCTTTTGTCTAATAACTGATTGAATCAGCTTTGGCTAAAACTGACAAAAAGCTCTGCTGAAGCACCTGATCTTATAGAAGCTGCATAACTGTGTTGAAGTAATGTGCTGCTGCTTCCGGTAAAGCGCGTTTTGGCGGGGTTTTAACATCTGCAAGCAGCCACAAATATTATGCAAGGTTATCAGGCATATGTCTTTGTGCTGACTGATCCAACCCCACTCTGTGGGGTAAGAGTGAAATCCTGAGCAAAGAAATTGCCTTGCTATTTTAAAATTCTTTCTGACCCTTCTTTAAAAAACAGTGGCACTTTCTGATTCAGAAAATTCCAGACTCTACTGTTCTGTGATAATGCACATAAAAGAATCATTGCAACCTACAAAGTTGGTTGACAGACGCACAGAATGAGGCAGTTTAACATTTACAAAATCAGCAGTACCACATGATTTGAGAGGGTAAAACGAAGAAAACTGCTGTCTGAGCTGAATACCTCCACTGCACACACACCTACACACATACACCATCTAATTCTTGGGAGCATTACAATGATATCTGTACTTTTCTTTAGTCAATCCTTTCTTATCCCATTATATCTTCTCATAGTAAATGAGGTGAGTTGCATTATCCTAGGCAGAGTGCTGTACTAATTGAGTACACTTCTAATTGCTGTAGGTGTAGCACCATGCTAACATAACTGTACTGTTTCCAGTACTTAAACTATCTCTGAAAATTCTGTTATGTAACTAGCATTTTGCTTTGTAGACATAGTCTAACACTATAACCTCTCACTACAGCCTCTCAGCAAGGCTCAAGGGCTCCAAAAATACAATAAAATTAGTGGTATACATAATTTGAGTTAGAAGACGTCACAAGGTAAAATGACAGGTACCTACTAGCGACTGAAATGACATCACATTTCACCCATGCTATATTAGGATTGAGTACTGACACAGCCATGATGGTCCAGGAAATACGGAAGCAGCAAGGGTTTTCTTTGGTCATATCTTTTATTGGACCAACTGTATGGATGGGGAAAATGTTAAATGAGCTTCTGAGGACAGTGTCCTTCTTCTGGTCAGTGTCCTCCCTTTTTGTGCCCAAATATCATTCCCAATAGTACCATTTGTCCAATTTAAAATGCAACTCCCCCCCCCCCCCCAAAAAAAAAAACCCAACCCAAAATTGCTTCTCCACAAAAGTTTTTACTCAGAGAGTCCATTCAGACCTCTAGTAATTCTAAATGCCTTAAATAAATAAGTCTCTCTTTGGGCCAAGTTATGTAGCACCATAGCGCAGAGATGTGGGTTTTCCGGAAATTTTTCCACTGCCCTAAATAGAGTGTGATCTGATTTAGCATGTTTATTTGACTTATATTTAGTAAACAAAACTAAACTAAAACTAAAACAAAACTAAAAAAAGTACTAAAAAAGTAAAAATGTTAATTTTATGTCCCAATAGCCACAAGTATTTGAAAGGAAATATTTGATTAGGAAAAAAATGAATATAGCATGCTTAATGTGGTTTAAATATTATATTCAAACACATTCAAAGCTTTATGTGGAAAGAAATTATTTTTATTGGAATACTTGTAAAAAATGTAAAGACAATACACTACCCTTACATTGTTTGTTTCAATTTAAGGGAAAAAAATGAAGGCACTGAAAACTGTTGAGAGACTAATTTTTGCACATCGAAAGACCTCTGCATGATATGCCATGGTTGTCCACTTATCTACTTCAAAAGAGTTTAACTCTCTTCTACTGAGGTCATTGCGGCACCTCCAGTTTCACTGTCACTATCTGTAGAACCACTTGCACTACTGATTAGTTCCATTGCAGAATCTGATTGAGGCAAATCTGATTCAGAACTACTACAACCTCATTCTCTTTCGCTAAAGGATGATTTTACCAATGAGTCTACAGGCAAGGGCAACTTATCATCATGCTTCATCTTCTTCACTAATTGTGCTTCTGACTGATTCTCCAGAAGCAAAAGATTTTGAGAAATCGAAACAAGCTTAGCAGTGCCTTCATTTGTTAGTCTATTCCTTTTTTTTGTCTTGATTGAGCTGAAAGCTAGGGCTGTGCAAAATTTCGCCAGCTGTTTTGACCAATTTTGAGGTCGAAACAGCAAAATCGGAATGAAACAAAAGCTGTCGAAACAGCTTTGAAACAAAATGAGGCTGGTCGAAATGTTTTGAAAGTTGAAATGTTTTGCCCATAGGCTGGGGATGGGAAGTCAGCCCTGTGCTACATCGCACCAGGGGCAGGAAGCAGCCCAGCTGAGCTGCCTTCCAACCCCGGTGCGATGTAGTACGCAGCACTAGAAAGCAGCCCAGCTGGGCTCCCGCCCCCAGTGCAATGTAGTGCAGGGCACTGGGAAACAGCCCACCTGGGCTGCCTTCTGCCCTGGGTCTTTGTAGCACTGGGGATAGGAATTCAGCCCAGCTGGGCTGACTTCCCACCCCCAGAAAAATTCAAAACAGTGTTGAAACAGCCTTTCTGTTTCGACAGAATGGAATGGAACAGCTGTTTCGACTTGAAATGAAATTCGAGATGAAACACTGTTCCCTTGAACCGTTGAAACTCAAGGCAAAACTGGATGGTGCCGTTTTGCACAACCCTACTGAAATCCTTTCAGTTCCCTTCACAAGAAGCTGCTGTTGGTGGAATGCTTAGGATCCTTAGAGCAATCCTGGACTACAGTCAGGTGTTACAGTATCCCTTCCACCATGTGAGAGGAGACATGTTCTCTGCTGCCTGCCAAATGATGTCTTTGCTCCAAAGTTTTTCTTTTGCACAGTACTCAGCAATGTCTGTCATCACGAGTATTTCATTGATGTTGCGGACATTCTTAGCTACTTCCATAATTGTACTGAGAGCAGTAGATAATTTATCTTCTGATAAATGATGTCCTCTGGTGTTGATCCAAAAGGTTGGATGCCAGATGAACTGGATGACACCAAAACTCAGCTCTCTTAGCAAACATTTGTTTTACTACTTCTTACAGGTGAAGAAGGCAAAAGCTCAATAAGATTTTCATTCAGTTGTCTGAATATCTCTGGAACATTTGAAAGGCTTGGTGTATCTCCTTCAAGTTTCTTCAGAGCCACTGAAACTGGTAGTAACAAATAGAATGCTCCTTGAACTCGAACCCCTAATGCATCTTTGTCAAGAATCTGCTTCTGAATGTTCATGGGAATATCTGGGATACAGGGTCATCTACTGAAGCACACTGCAAACAGTTCTTTGTGCGCAGCAAACTATGTAAACACATCGTAGCTGAGCCCCATCTAGTTTCTCCTGGCAATAAAGGTACACTTTCCTTCCCCTGCTTCTCCTTCTGTAATTTCTTCAAAGTCTGATTAGCAATGATGATGCTAATGATTAGCAATGATGACGATTGTTGAATACCTTCACAATCGCTTTGCAGTCTGCCAATGTTGTCTTAATTGTATTCATACTTACTGTGACCTTTGCCAGAAGATTCAACCCATGAGCAAGACAGCCAAATACTAGTAAATGAGGATACTTTGCCTTTAATATTTGCCATGCAACTTTCATGTTAATCACATTATCAATTACAAGAGCTTGTACCTGGAAGGGACCTGCACTTTCAAGCTCTTCACTCAGTAATTTGGCTATGTATTCACCTGTATGACAAGAAGATTTGGTAGCAATTGCTTTCAGGAATGTTGGTTCAGGTGTTGCTAACATAATGTTCAATAAAGGATTCCTTGTATATCAGTCCATCCATCTGACAGTAGAGTCTGATTCTGCTTGACCAATCCTTTGAATAACTGTTGTGTGAACTCTGTCATACTCTCCATCTAAGAGAGAACGTGATAAGAGATAACGCGATGGTAACTTACATGATGGGTGAATGAGTTTGTAATCTTCCTTCCAGTATTGATTTTCAGTTATGGAAAGAGGTTACCACTTGCATATATAGCTCGACCTAATGTCTCATCTGCTTTTCCTTGATCTTCTTTGACATTTTGTCCACAAAGCTTGATAAAAAGCTTGACTGTCTTGAACAGCTACTCATGGTGGATCGCATATCTAGTGACAGTGATCTTGAAAGCAAGGATCCTGCTGCTTCTTCCCCTAGACCTGGCAGCTCAACATTTTCATTTTCCATTTTTTCCGAATCTGCTATTTCACTTGAGCTACCTGTGCGTGGAGGTTGCTAGGCTCCACGGTGCAGAGCTCCGGATGCTCTGGGTGAACAGGCCACCAAAATAGAAATCGTAAATACGTCTTATAAAAGTCGCGTTCGAAGACGGGAAGAGGTGGGTGGTGGATCAGGCCGCCAAGCTCCTCTGGATCTCACACAGGGTTTCTATTACCCTGCCGTGTACCCAGAGTCCCCACGAGATGAATGTGGAGTCCTCTTCGGCTTGGGTGGAAACCGCACAAGCCTCTTATACGGCTAACAGGCCAATCACTAGCCGCCACGTGTGAATAATTTAGCACTAGCCAATCACGGGGAACAAATTTGCATACCGGTGGCAGGAACTCTTTTGCACCGTGCATTCCTCTTGCAACTCGAGCAATGCACTCTACAAAAGAAGCTGCAGAAAAGGCGGGAAACTCGTCCCTGCACTGGGGTTTCCTCTGCAACAGGAAACACTCCCGTGCAATGCTCTGCAACTCGGCGGGGATAATTCTGGTGCCGAAGCGCACACACAATCATGCCTTTTGGGTCATGACACTACCAAGTTCCTGCAACAAAAGGGGGAAAAGATTCTTATTTTAGCCTATTTTAGTCTGGCCTCATGCATCAGAAAGAGAAGAAGCGGTAGGGAGCTTGCTTCCCCCCATCCCTGCCAGAAAGAGCATTGTGCTGCTCAACATGCTGCTCAGTTGCCCTGGGACTGCAGAGCAAAAGGGAAGCATAGTCTGGCCTCCGCCATCGGCCAGAGGACTAAGCTTGCTCTGCTGCGTTAAAATAGTTAACTATTTGTCTGTTATTTAATTTAAAAATATATACATTGTTAAGTCTAAGCCACTTTGCATGCTTAGTGTAAGCAGAAAATCAGGATACAAATATTTTAAATAAATAAATAAATGAGCAAGCAATAGTCCAGAGTTGCATTAGCAACTTTTAAAATGATAATGTTTTAAAACAATATAGATGCTAGTCTATTCTGTGTGTTATTTAATATATGAATTTGTTTACTTACATAGGATTCCTGAAGCAGACTTCTCTCAGATGATGTTCCACCACTTGGTTGTATTAGCTTTCTGTATATGGCTTGTACTCTTTCAGGACAGTTTCTACATGTTATTAAATGTTTCTTCATTCTTGTTGCATAGTTAGCATACTCCTGACTGCAATATTTACATCTACCAACTTTCTTCCTTCCTTCAGTTGCTTGAACTTCACTAGAATGATGCCACACACTAGTTTTTTTTTTCTGATTAGGCATTATTCTGACTACTTCAAACCAAAAGCACAAAAAATGCTCTGTGTGTTTGCTGAACTGAAAGTGAAACAAAAATTAATCACAGTTTTAGTTTTGCTTTCACTTGCAGTCTGAGATGAAATAAGAATTTAGGTTTAGTTTCGATTTGATCTGCACAGCCAATTAGGTAAATTCATACCTTAACTTTTGGTTTGGATTATTATATGAGTGTATTTACCCTCCTGTTTACAAATCAATAAAACATGTACTCTCTCACACACTTCCTAGGGATAATCACCTGAAAAACATGAATTACAACTTTGAAACTGCCAAGCTTGCCTAATATTGTATTGGCATCCATTCATTGTTTCTAATGAATTTTATGAAACAATAACATTTTTAGAAATGGAAAATTTCCCACAGAAAAATAAAGCACTGGAAAATTTTCAGTCCTACATCTCTGCCATAGCCTTCACCAGACAGCCTTAATTAAACTAATGATGCAGATTCAGAACTTAGATTTAGCTTCTGCTGCCACAGCATAAAGTGCAATTCCTCTAGTGAACTGAAATTCCAACACTGTAGCTTTGATGGTCCAGGAACTACGCAAGGCAAGGATTTTTTTTATATATTTTAATCACACCAACTGTATAGCTAGAAGAGACCAAAAACAAGCTTCAGAACGCCAGGTACCCTTTCCTCAGGCTAGACATTATTCTTTTACATAATTTGGCTTACCTGTTTATTTCTACTGTGTTTTACTAGGTTTATGGTTACTCCTGATAACTTCTTTGTTCAACAGGTTTATTGCCTTCTTCTTTAAATGAATACTTTCATTTACATAATGAAGTTAAACAAAAGTTATGATTTTACCTGGTATTTAACTTAAGCTGTGTTTTTTTTCCAGAGCTGAGGAGGGTCACTTTGTGCCTGACAATTGGTCCAATAAAAGACATCACCAAATAAAACCTTGTTTCTTAAAAACAAACACTAGAAAGTTTATGGTTATTAACAGTGAGTTCCAAACTCATGGGAAGCTATTAAACAGCGTGCCAAAGGAAGTTGTTGCCAGGGAGAGTTGCTATCTATTTTATAGCAGCAGCAGCCCATCTTCCCCTTGCAATGAAAATTCAACTGCAGCCATCTCCGAGCTTAAATTTTTCATTCAAATCTTTATATCAGACTTGAAACAACCTCTATAATTTAGGTATTTTAGGTACTAAAAAAAAGTTAGAATCTGCCTAACAGTCTGTGATTCACCATATAAAAACTGAGACTGATATGGCTGTATTACTTTTGAAAGGTTTTTTTGAAAATACAGAGCAACTGAAGAGGTGTAACACAGGGGCTATAAGAAGGGGATCTAGAAAAATCTTAAACAGCAAAAAGTCAAATTTCATCATGACAGCTCCATATGATGTAATCAGAATGAAAATATTAAATAATTCACAGGACTTTTGTCTTTGATGACAAGGTTACAAACCTTGAGATTAGAAATATGGCCCAAGGCATCCAAACGATGGCAATATCAGGCTTAGAACTACCTTAATTCAAATTGCAATGCTCTCTCTCCTATTTTTATAAGAAAGCCTCTGTTTGTCATGTAAAAATGTTAGTATCTATTGTTTTCGGTAGTACTAGATTTAAACAGATTTTTGCTAGTTGTCATTAAGGATATTAGCTGGAAATAGTCCAACTACATGCGTTTTCCTCCTTTAAAAAAGTCTTTAAAAGCAAGCCTAGTCTTTTTGCTAAAATTTGTTAAATAATGGATTGTGTGATCAATCTGCATGTATTTAATGTGTCTTTGTTTAATCTTTGCATTTGATAAATACAGAAATAGCAATCCTTAAAGACTTCCATCTCTCATAACAGACATGAGTGACAGCCCCGCAGTGGAATGTCTTTAACAGCAAACCTGAGTGACATTCCTTAGATGTATAGCACGTGCTGCCTGAAAACTGTAATTAAAATGTTTCTCTAGGACTGGCAGATTCTCTAGGATGAAAAAGCCTCTCTCCCACAAAAATAAAGATTAGCAGGAATCAGGGAGATGATAATGAACCACAAAGTCATTGACTCAGCTCTGCCTGAATAGAAATGCTGCTGCCCTTCCCAGGCAGATGGTTTTACATCTGGTTGGAGCAGGAATCAAAAGGTGGGGGTACAACTGCACCACTGTGCCCTCATGGATTCATCCTTGGTGGTACTCTAATATCTTGCTGTATAAACATACTGGTAGAAGTTCCCACAACATTAATACTGTAGTTCACACTAGAAATAGCACACGAATCACAGCTGAAGTAGCTCTTGGTATTTCCACCAGCAGAAATCTGACTTAAGTGTGTTTAGATTTCTCCCTAGAGTGAAATACCAGTTTAATAAATTTGAATGAGGCAGCAAATATATGTTATAGTTTAAAATGAGTCAAATTCTGTTGCTAGCTTCCTTTCTGAAGGTATGCAAACAACGTAACTGAAAGGAAAAAATTACCACCAGATATTATGTATTTGTAACTCATACCCTTTTACACTAACTGAACAATTACCCTTCCCTGCTGCAGAAAGATCAATCTCAACCCTGGTGTAAAGACACACTATACAAACTTTACTTATAGTGTGCCTACTTACATGAAGGCTGAATTTGGCTTATGGATTGTATAAATTGCCTGTTATGTCTATAACATTTATGTGCTAAGAATAATCATCAAAATAGCTAGGGGTGGAAAGGAGAGTGCAAAATGTTGCTTAGACCCTTCAGTGTTTAAGACACGATATTAAATTAAATTAATTGAGTAAAAATGATAGATGAAAATTGTAAACATGCCCTTTCATCACTTCTGTAATCAACTGAGTTTGAACAAGATGGAACTGTAAGATTCTTAGAACATCATTTTATCATAGAGTCTAACCACCAGATTCTTGTAAAGAAAATTATATCCCATTAAGCTACTAGATTTCTTTGACTATTTTCATAAAACAGAATTAAAAGGAAAAACGACTTGGTCTTTCAAAAGGCCATTCCAAGAGAGTTATAAAGAAATTAAGCAGTTAGGATGTGAAATGCAAAAACTAGTTAAAAGAGAACACTAAGAGCAGCAATAAATAGTCCATCTTCACATAAGCAGTGGAAGGCCAAGGCTAAT